AATAATCTGTTTAATACTGAGTGAGTTTAGGTAATATGTGCTTTTCAAATAATTGGTCCATTTCTTCCAGGTTGTTAATTTATGTGCATAGGGTCGCTCATAGTATTCCCTTTTGCTTTTAATGTCTGCAGGGTCTGTCATGATATCCCTGTTTCATTCCTGATATTGGTAATTTTGTAATTTTTGTCTTCTCTCTTTTTCTGTCAGTGTAGCTAGAGGTTTGTCAATTGTATTGATTTTTTTCAAAGAACCAGATTTTTGTTCTGTTGACTTTCTTGTTTTTTCTTCTTTCAGTTTCATTGACATCTGCTCTTATCTTTATTATTTCCTTCTGCTTGGTTTGGGCTTATTTTTCTCTTTTCCTAGTTTGTTAGGGTGGGAGCATGAGATGCAATGGACAAAATTTTAAGTTTTTTCTCAATATTTTATATTTTTGGCTGGTAATGTGAATGGAATATTTTTCTGTTATATTTGCTAAGTAGTTGTTTTTTTATCTATAAAAATTGTTGAGTGTTTTCATTTATTTAAAGGAACACCTCACTGATACTCTATTGAATTGGTAATTTTAAAATCTGTCCTCTAGGGGGGCACCTGGGTGGCTCAGTCGGTTAAGTATCAACTGTTGATTTCGGCTCAGGTTGTGATCTCATGGTTCGTGAGATTAAGCCCTGCATCAGACTCTGCACAGAACCTGCTTGGGATTCTCTCTCTCCCTCCTTCTCTCTCAGAAATAAATAAACTTAAAAAAAATCCTTCAATTCCATCCTCTTTGGCTTTTTGAGTATGTAATTATGTATCAGTGGTCCTACTTCCTTTTTCTAGTAGAATTATACTTTTAGAAATATAAATTTTTTCCAAGCATATAAAACTAGGAGGTCATAGAGGAAAATTGGGGAGAGACTTTCTAAAAAAAAGACCTCATTTTAGTCATACACCAGCTAGCCAGTGAACCAAAGATTGCAGAAAGCTGTGATGGATGGTAGGAGTAATATTCTAGTGTGTGTGTGTGTGTGTGTGTGTGTGTGTGTGTGTGTGTGTGTGTGTAAATAACACATCTTCTTTATCCATTTATCAGTTGATGGACATTTGGGCTCTTTCCATATTTGGCTATTGTTGATAGCACTGCTATAAACATTGGGGTGCATGTGCCCCTTCAAAACAGCATTCCTATATCCTTTGAATAAATATCTAGTAGTTCAATTGCTGGATCATGGGCTGGTTCTGTTTTTAATTTTTGAGGAACCTCTGTACTGTTTTCCAGAGCGGCTGCACCAGTTTGCATTCCCACCAGCAGCGCAGAAGAGATTTCTTTCTCTGCATCCTTACCAACATCTGTTGTTGCCTGAGTTGTTAATGTTAGCCATTCTGTGTCAGTTGGCCATCTGGATGTCTTCTTTGGAGAAGTGTCTATTCGTGTCTTTTGCCCATTTCTTCACTGGATGACTTGTTTTTTGGGTATTGAGTTTGATAAGTTCTGTATCGATTTTGGATACTAACCCTTTATCTGATATGTCATTTGCAAATATCTTCTCCCATTCTGTTTATGCCTTTTGGTTTTGCTGATTGCTTCTTTCGCTGTGAAGAAGCTTTTTATTTTGATGAGGTCCCAGTAGTTCATTTTTGCTTTTGTTTCCCTTGCCTCCAGAGACGTGTTGAGTAAGAAGTTGCTTCGGTCAAGGTCAAAGAGGTTTTTGCCTGCTTTCTCCTCTAGGATTTTGATGCCTTCCTGTCTTACACTTAGGTCTTTCATCCATTTTAGTTTACTTTTTGTATGGTGTAAGAAAGTGGTCCAGGTTCATTCTTCTGCATGTTGATGTTCTGGTTTCCCAACACCATTTGCTAAAGAGGCTGTCTATTCCATTGGATATTCTTTCCTGCTTTGTCAAATATTAGTTGGCCATACGTTTGTGGGTCCATTTCTGGGTTCTCTATTCTGTTCCATTGATCTGAGTGTCTGTTTTTGTGCCAGTACCATACTATCTTGATGATTACAGGTTTGTAATATAGCTTGAAGTCCAGAATTGTGATGCCTCCAGCTTTGCTTTTCACTTTCAGGATTGCTTTGCCTGTTTGGAGTCTTTTCTGGTTCCATACAAATTTTAGGATTGTTTGTTCTAGCTCTGTGAAGAAGGCTGGTGTGATTTTGATAGGGATTGCATTGACTATGTAGATTGCTTTGGGTAGTGTCAACGTTTTAACAATACTTATTCTTCTAATCCATAAGCATGGAATAGTTTTCCATTCTTTTGTGTCTTCTTCAGTTTCTTCCATAAGCTCTCTGATCTGTCTTCCCTTATAGATTAAAGACTTTTTTTTCCCTTGTTGCTTTCATAATCTTTACTTGTCTGTGTATTTTGTGAATTTGACTATGATATTCCTCGTTGATGGTCTGTTTTTGTTGAATCTAATGGGAGTTCTCTGTGCTTCTTGGATTTTGATGTCTGTGTCTTTCCCCAGGTAAGGAAAATTTTCTGCTGTGGTTTGCTCACATAAACTGTCTACTCCTTTTTCTCTCTCTTCATCTTCTGGGACTTCTATGATTCAGATGTTATTCCTTTTTAATAAGTCACTGAGTACTCTAATTTTTGTATCATGCTCTTTTGCCTTAGTTTCCCTCTTTTTTCTGCTTCATTATTCTTCATAATTTTGTCTTCTGTATCGCTGATCTGCTTCATCCATCCTTGCCGCCGTGGCATACAACTGAGATGCAGTCTCAAATGTATTTTACTTCTTTTGTCTCCGCTGAAAGGGATTCTCTGGTGTCTTCTATGCTTTTTTTCAACCCCAGCTAGTATTCTTATTATCATGATTCTAAATTCTGGTTCAGACATCTTGCTTATATCTGTGTTGAGTAAGTCCCTGACTGTCATTTCTTCCTGTTCTTTCTTTTGGAGCGAATCCTTCATTTTGTCATTTTTGAGGAAGAAAAATAATTAATAAAAAAATTAAAATTAAAAAATTAAAAGCAACACAAAAAATCAAATAAAGGAAGCTAGATCCTAGGTGCGTTTTGGCCTGGTTTTTGAAAGAAGCTTGATAGAATAGAGAAAAAAGGGAAAGAACAGAAAAAAAAAGTAAGAAGTGTTAAAAAAATTTAAAAATGTATACAACAAAATAGAATAAAATGAAATGAGGAAAGTAAAGTAGAATTTAAAAAATTACAAAAAATAAAAACTATAGCAAAAAAATTTTAAAAATTTTTAACGGGAAATAAAAATAAAATGTTCTCTTTCTGTATCAAAGAATAAGAAAAAAAATATGGAACACTTCACAAATTTGCATGGCATCCTTGCTCAGGGGCCATGCTAATCTCTGTATCATTCCAATTTTAGTATATGTGCTGCCAAAGCGAGCACTTAGATGTGTTGCTTTAAATGGCTATTTTCTTGTACCACTTTTCTTTTGATAATGAGAATTTCCTGTTTGAAAGCTTTTAAACCTATTCTGAAAGTCTTCCTAAAAGATCCTTTTTGAATTGTTAACTGTGGTTACCTCCAACTGAAATTGGATGAGGGAACTTTCACTTCTGTACATTCACAGAGCTACATATCTGTGTCAAAGTGCATCAATATCAATCTGTCTATCTCTCTATTTCCTAGGACAGTGCCTGGAATTTAGTAGATGCTCAATAAGTATTTGTTGGAGGAATGAGAACTAAATAGAGAAAAATCTCATTTTTGTCTTTAGAGAATTTATAATCTAATGGCAGAGATAGAAGCTATATGTGCAAAAAATCAAGAATGCTTATATGAAAGGAAAAGCTTATTTCAGTTCATCTTAATGGTAAATTTTAATTTGAAGGAGTTTGGGGGCACCTGGGTGGCTTAATCTGTTAAGCGTCTGACTCTTGATTTGCCCAGGTCATGATCTCACCGTTCATCTGCTTGGGATCCTCTCTCTCCCTCTCTCTCTGCACCTTCCAAGCTTGTGCTCTCTCTCTCTTTCTCTAAACATAAATACTTTTTTAAAATGAAGGAGTTTTAATTTGATTCAGGGGGAATTGAGAGTCAAATTTTAGGGAAGAGAATTATGACATGTGAGTAGAAGATATTTGGGCTACGTTTGGGAGGACTGCATTGTGTAAGGGGGTAAGATTCTGCATCTTTCATGAGGTAGTTAGATCCTGAACCACATCTTTGAGCATGGATATGTATAGCAAGGAGCAGAGATGTCCGAAGGCACGATGGCTTTTTAAATTTTTTGGTGGAAATGCCTTGCAAATATGGAATTCTGAGGCTCTCTGTAACCATGGTCATGTTGTGTTGGCTAAAGAGATAAAATAGTTTCTTTTTCTAAAATAAAAAACTCCTTAAAATATCAAACTTTACATATGAAAGCAGAAAACAAAATATAATGCCATCTGTCTTATCACACACAATGGATATTTAAATATTTTAAGTAGTCCAGCAGATTTATGTTCATTAAAATCCCACTAACTAATAATGTGTTTTGTTTCCTTCATTCCCACTCAGGTTACAATTCACACTTTCAGATAAAAGTATTAATATCAGCCACAGAAATTACAGGAAAAGGAGTATTTTATTTTATAAAGAACACCTTGTATAATACTGGAAACCAAGCACTGTATTCTTTTAATATTTGGTTCCCAGAATGGATAGGCTCAGATGATAGTTACTGATATTGTCAGTTCACTGCTAACTAAATACACCTTAAAAATTTTTGTAAGGGCAACGAGTTTGAGTGTATTTTGCATTTTTGATTCCTTCTTAGGAAGTTACAGATTTTACCTGATAGTAATGGTTTTGAGATTTAGTGTGTTTTATATTTTTTAAGAAATCTTCCTTATGATAGTGGAATGAGACTAATAGTTATGATACAAGGTTTGTTCGTAGTCCATCTCTAATTTATCCCTATCCCAATATCTAATTTATCCCAATATCTCATGTTATATATTATCAACAGAGAAAGCAGTTCATGATTGCAGCATGTCAACCTGCAAATTCATATGTATTTGATGATTTTTAAAATGATTTTCCTAGGAAATATAACTTTTGAAACAATGATGGAAATTCTCCGAGATAAACCAAGTGGCATTAATATGGAGGGAGAATTCCTGACCACTGCAAGCATGGTTTCTATTTTACCTCAAGACTCCAACCTTCCTTGCATTCACTTCTTTACAGGGACTCCTGATCCTGAGAGGTAAAGTCACAAAATACTGTAAACCAACAAGGGGTCAGGGGCTAGGATAGTCATCAGTCTGTTGGTGATTTTGCCAGGCTAACTTTTTCTTACACAAATATGACAATAATTTTTGGATATATTTTCTGTTCGGGTGGTAGGCTGCCATTTACATATGTGCATTCCTGCCATAACTATTCTCATTTTTTAGGACAAAAATGTTAATAGTTTCTTGTCTGCAGTTATTCTTACTCTCTTTGGCCAAATATATTTAAAATTGTCAAGAAAAGAAAGTAGATGGTTTTCTTTTGCAGATTTCAGTATTATAATATTAGATGGTTAAGAATACTAAGAAGATTAAATGATGTAGTTGTGCTGGATTTAGATGGTTACTTATCCGCTCATATCTAGAAAATATATGCCTGTAAAACTTAAACTATCAGTAGTTGAAGTTATATCTAAAGTTGGATTTTAGATATGTTAAAATTGCCTTAAGTCATTAGTGTCTCTCATAGAACTTAATGTACATTACATTGAGAAATGATCTTATATTCTGTCAGTGTTATAGTCTTTCATGTTATTAAAGATCATTTCAAGAAGATGGAGTGAGACCTGAGGACACTTTATTAATACTGCTGCTGTGATTTCATTCCAGATCCTAATCCTCAATCTCTGTAACACTGAGGATTGTTCTTACCCTTCAACTATGGAGTTTTCAGTAGAAAATGATGGACTATAATTTCACTGGACACTGTTTCTGTGCCAGGCCCTTCTAACTAGAGGGAATCGTAGAAGATTTAGCATAATGCTAAATATTTTCCTATCCCCACTATCCCCACAAGCCAACTCTATGACTTTTTCTTCTAGATCTGTTTTTAAGCCTTTCATATTTGTGCCAAATGTTTCACAACTATTGGATACCAGCTCACCAACATTTGATCTTGAAGACCCAGTTAAAAAGAAACCACGTTTTCAGTTTAAGCCTGACAGAAGACACCCACTCTATCAAGAACATCAACAGGCATTGGAAGTAATAGACAAAAAGGAGGTATGATTAAATTATATTCTCTGTTTTATCATTAAGAACAGTTTAAAGTGTGATTCAGTCCACGTTTTGAACTTTGGAACTTCACCTTTCTTTCCTTGCTTCATGTAAAAATAGGTTTAAAAATAGTTTAAACTCTCTCTCTCTCTCTCTCTCAAAAATAAACAAACATTAAAAAAAATAAAAGCTTTTAAAAATAAAATAAAAATAAAATAGTTTAGATGTTTCAATTATAGTAGAGCTCAAACCAAAGATTTAAAATAATGGTTAAGAATGCACTATGAATCTCTTAGAGAAATTTAGTATCTTAAACATAATAACAATACCTAACATTTATTGGGCACTTTTTATACACTCAGCACCATGGTATCATTACACAAAATAGAATATTTTATTTAATCTTCAAACCACTTTATGAGGTAAATACTATTGTTATCTCCATTTCACTGATAAGGAATCTCCATTTACTGAGACTTAGAGAGTTTAAGTAGCTTGCTTAGTTTATATCTCACACCAAAAATTACAGAGCTACTGGAGGGCAGTTAACATCTCTTACATACAAAATGTTCTTAATCAGATAGCCTCAGATTAATTTTTATTGGAAATGCTTAACACTCCTTAGACTTAATAATAATGATGAATTGGAGTCTTTTTAAAAAAATGGTAAGTGCTTATTCTTTTTAAATGTAAGCAGTATAGAAGATGAACATCATCCAAAATCTCATCTCTAGAAATAAGCAGATACATTTTTGGGCAGATGGACAGATTGACAAATAATTTTCTAATATCCATACCTCTTCAGCTTTCTTCCCTCTCTGCCCCAGAAATAAAATATAGATTAGAAGGAAATGGAAGAGCTAGCTGGAGGTTTTTTACAGAACCATCAACTGATTCCCTCCAGGGAGGAAAAGATTGGCCATCTTGTACCTTTCCACACCTGTTTGTACCGGCTCCCGATTTCTATTGCTATCATTCCTTTTACTTCCTCGAGATATATACATTTACATTCTTTCTACATAAAATGCATTGTATCAGTTGTCTTCCAGGTAATTATTTATTTAGTTTTGTCTGTAGTATGTTTGCACGGTTGCCATTCCCCCACCCGCTTTGCTTACACTTAAAGCAGAGAACTCTGTCTAGACCTCCTGTTTGCTGTGGATTCTTGACACTTGCTTTATCTTGGACTATTTTGTTTTCACTTGTAACTTACAGTGTAAACACTTTTTGTAGGTAGCCGCTGGCATGGAAGGAGAGGCAGGCAAGTTGTTCTAGGGGCATTAAGTACGCTGTTGAGAGCCCAGTCTACCGGCCAGTGGTGTCATCCACTGTGTGGGCTTGGCTTACACTCCTGACTGAGCACAGTCCTGGGACAAATGAGCCCCCTGGTCCTTCTTGCCTTTGCTCAAGTTCCTCAGTGATATGTTTCAAGAGATATGTCTGCTCTGGAGGGATTTTCCCTCACTTCTCCCTGAGCAGCCTCCACACTGCCACTAATCGCTTACTTAGTTCTCAGCATTGTCAGCTTCCTTTCCCCTCAATACTGTTTCTGGAAGGTTGGTTTTGTAGACGTATTATTAAATGCTTGTTAAATTAAAATGCTGATTGACATTTTTCTAAGTAATATTGAAATTAAAATTTAAAAGCTGTTAGTATCTTAGGCTTTATTTAATAGCCATTAAGTGTTGATTGACAACAGAAAGTAATGGAGAAACCATAGAACCTGAAGGAAGAAGTGTCAAAGAGCTGGATTCTAGTCTACTTTTTTTTTTTTTTACTGAAGTATAATTGACACAAAATGTTAACATTGGTTTTAGGTGTACAATATAGTGATTGGACAAATCTATACATTATGCTATGCTCACCCCACATGTAGCTGCCATCTGTCACCATACAATGCTCTTACAATACCATTAACTATATTCCTTATGTGCCTCTTATCCCCATGACATTCATTCCATAACTGGGCACCTATATCTTCCTCTTCTCTTCACTCATATTGTCTACCTCCTCACCCCCTGTCATCTGGCAGCCATCAGTTTCTTTGTTCTCTGTATTTATGGGTCTAATGCTGCTTTTTGTCATTTGTTTTGTTTTTTAGATTCCACATATATTATGCAGAATGATGTGATATTTGTCTTTCTCTGGTTCTAGTCTATTTTTATGACTTAGGGAGAGTCAGTGCTACTGGTAGTTTTAATGTATGTTTCTTGATTACTGATGAGGTTGAAAAGCTTCTCAGATGTTTATTAGCCATTAGTATTTCCTCTTAAATGACTTGCCTGTTCTTTTCCCTAGCCTGTTTTTCAATTGTTGCTTGGTTGTTTTTGTCTTTTGCCTCAGAGAGGCAAAACTATATGAATTTTGAGTCTTTGTTATATTGCAATTTTTTATCTCAGTTTATTGTTTGTTTAACTTTTTTTTCACACAGAAGTTTTAAGTTAAGTCAATTACATTTGTTAGTCTTTTCCTTTAAGGCATCTTGATTTCATGCTTCTAGAGGCCTGCTTCATCTCAAAATAAATATAACTTCTGTATTTTCTTCTAGTATGTATGTGTGTGTTTGAAAAAAATACTTAGTTCTTAAATTTTTCTGAAATTTCTTTCTATTTTTTCATGTTTATTTAAGAGAGAGAGAGCATGTGGGAGGAGGGGCAGAGAGAGAATACCAAGCTCCGCATTTTCAGCGCAGAGCCCAACGTGGGGCTGGAATTCACGAACCCTGAGATCATGATCTGAGCTGAAATCAAGAGTCTGGTGCTTAACTTACTGAGCCACCTAGGTGCCCCTGAATTTTATTTTTGTGTATGTTATGAAGTAGGGATTCTAACTTTGTTTTCCAAGAGGTGACCAATTATTTCAATACCATTTATAGACAAAATATATTTTTTTCTCACTAATATGTAATGTAGTGTTTCATCAGAAAAAGTTGATTCAATTTGATTTTAAAGTCCATGTTTAGATTAAGCATCTTTGTTTTGTGGAGTTCTGCCCTATCATTATAGGGCAGATATATATCATTCAAATTTTTAAAATTATTTTTACTTTCTAGTAACTTTCTTCTTATATATTTTTTTCTCTCAGTACCTACCCTATAACTGGTCATGGTAATTCACCAATAACTTAAAAATTCCTTTATTCTATATGAGTAATGACCTTTCCCCCGATTCTTGAAACAGGGAGGAATCATAGAGAAAATGTCTTTTTTAGTTGTTCTTTCCCTTGAATACTACTGTTCTTTTCCCTTTGTTTAATCTGATAATATTGATTTTAAATACAGAAGATCCACCTTCATAAAAATATCTTAGCCTCATTTTTCAGCAACCTTCCCCAGACACAATATCATAATTTCAATGGTCCTGTAAATTTTTCTTTTAGGTTTCTTGCTTATAGACTAATCCTATGCAATTATGCTTAATCTTTTCTACTAAGAATACCTGATAAGTTGGAGTTAATCCATTAATTCAATATAGAACAAAGATTTTTCCTGAAGAATTTCATTCCGTACTATATCTAAAGAATGAGAGGGGAACCAAACTAGAAGTGGAAACCAGAATGAAAAAAAAAAACTTGTCTGTAGAGGTGGTTTGGAATTTGGTTAGACTTATATGTGTGTGTGTATTTACTTATTTTTATTTTTTCATTGTTCAGGAAAAAGCCAAAACTATGTTGGACAACATGAGGAAACTGGAGAAAGAACTATTTAAAGAAATGGAATCAATTCTTCAAAACAAGCATCTTGATGTTGATAAAATTGTTAATCTCTTTCCCCAGTGTGCAAAAGATGAAATTAGAATTTATAAGTCAAACATTAGTTCTTAGTGTCATATAAATGGTCAACAATCTTCCTCAAAGTCAGAATCTATCACCTTGGTAAATGATATAACCTAGTTTGAGTAGATCTGATTTTTCTTTAATAGCATTTACCTAATGGCCTATTAAAACTACACATAGTCTTGCTGAAATATTGAGAAAGAAAATAACATTGGAATTAGGCACATATATCATGGAATGGCCAGGAGTTATTTCAGGTATTTGTGTGTGTGTGTGTGTGTGTGTGTGTGTGTGTGTGTGTATGTGTGTGTGTATGTGTATGTGGTTTTTTTCCAGCCATAATACCTTTTTAAAAATTACAATAATTAAATATTCAATTCTGCATAAAGTATGAAATATTAAAATAATGAATAGGTGGGGCGCCTGGGTGGCGCAGTCGGTTAAGCGTCCGACTTCAGCCAGGTCACGATCTTGCGGTCTGTGAGTTCGAGCCCCGCGTCGGGCTCTGGGCTGATGGCTCAGAGCCTGGAGCCTGTTTCCGATTCTGTGTCTCCCTCTCTCTCTGCCCCTCCCCCGTTCATGCTCTGTCTCTCTCTGTCCCAAAAATAAATAAACGTTGAAAAAAAAAAAATAATGAATAGGTTTATATTTAGTATATTTATGTATTGTCCTCAAATAATTTTCTCAATTATAGCAAGAAAATAGATTTTTCTTTAGTAATGGAAAATATTGTTTCTCAAGTAATGAGTTTTTTCTCATTAGGCAAATATTAATCATCTCTAACAAAATTTTCTAGATTTATACATTGTCTTACTACAGTGTATTAATCCTGCAAATGTGCTTTTATTAGACACAAACATGCTTTTTGTCAAGACTTGGCATCAGTGAGCTTTTAGCTCTAATTATCAAGCACTTTTTCAGCCACGCACCCTTACAGGCTTTTACGGTAATGGTTTTAGAAGAGCTTGTCTGGGGGATTAGGAAATGGGATAAGGGAACCAAGACCTCAGGAGATACTGTTTCTGTGTCTTGAATCTTTCTCAAATTTTGTTTCTCTTCACTCAGTGAAAACAGCAACAGGAATGAGATAGTGGCAACGAAATAGAATTATTAGTGTACTATGAACATGAAGAACATTATAGTGCATAATGTATTATGAACATTATTAATAAGTAATATTTACCCAAAGTTTATAAAACTTTGTTAAAGTTACATAGAGATTACCAAGTAAGACTCAAGTTGCAACTATAAAACAAAAGAAGAATCCAACTCAACATTATTTATTGGTTTCTAGAAATATCTATTTTAGGTTTTTTATTATATTATCGTATTTATTGGTTGCTATCATTGTAATTAGGATTATTACTAAAGTAGCGGATGATTAAAGAAAATTTCTTTTTTTAAGTTCTCTCATAAAAGCCATAATCTGCTTAGGGGCGCCTGGGTGGCTCAGTTGGTTGAGCGTTCGACTTCGATTTAGGTCATGATCTCGTGGTTTGTGGGTTCGAGCCCCACCTTGGGCTCTGTGCTGACAGCTCAGAGCCTGGAGCCTGCTTTGGATTTTGTGTCTCCTTCTCTATCTCCCTCTCCCCTGTTCGCGCTCTGTCTCTCTCTGTCTCTCAAAAATAAATAAATGTAAAAAAAAATTTAAAAACCACAATCTGCTTGATTTTGCTCGTCTAATACAGAGCTACCATTACAAAAGAAAAGAGATTTGTCTCAAGTACTCAGTTAATTATGTGTTTGCTTTACATATGGTTCAGTGAAAGCCTCTCCCCAAATCATGAAGACCTTTGGCCAACCCCCATACACCTCCTCTCTCTCTCTTAATATATGGGGAAACTAAGGGTAAGCAGGCTGTTCATTTATCCAGGGGCACATACTTGAATCTTATTTCTCTCTCTGGGGCTCACATGTTTTCTCTTCCTCCTTCCATACCACCCTAGTCTCAACTAGCACTGTCTCTCACCTGGACAACTGCAGTGAACTGTTCTACACCCATTTTTGTTTTTTATCTCTGTTCACATGGGTCACTGCAGCAGAGTGATCTCTTGGGAATGTAAATCTAATAATACATTTCCTTCCTAAAACTTTTTAAGAAAATATTTTTTTACAGCTGTTTTAGGTTTAAAGCAAAACTGAGCAGAAAGTACAGAGTCCCTGCATACGTCCTGTCCCACCTCCAATTCCCCCCTTTCCTTCCCCCCCCCCCCATCAACATCCCACACTAGAGTAATACATCTGTTACAATTGATGAACCTACACTGACATATCGTTATCACCCAAAAGCCATAGTCTACATTCGGGTTCACTCATTGTACCTTCTATGGGTTTGGACAAATGTTTAACGACATGCATTAGTGAGTATTATACAGAATAGTTTCACTGCTTTAAATATCTGTGCTCCACCTATTCATCTCTCCCTCCCCCTAATCCCTGACAGCCACTAACCTTTTTATTATCTCCGTAGTTTTGCCTTTTCTAGAATGTCATATAGTTGGAATCATACAGTATATAGCCTTTTCAAATTTGCTCTTTAACTTAGTAATATGCATTTAAGATTCCTCCATGCCTTTTCGTGGCTTGGGAGCTCATTTCTTTTCAGTGCTGAATAGTATTCTGGATATTTTGATTGCGGATACCCAGTCATAAAACCATAGGTCCTACTGAAGGACACCTTAGTTGCTTCCATGTTTTGGCAGTTATGAATAAAGCTGCTATAAACATCTATGTGCCAGTTTTTGTGTAGACATAAGTTTTCAGTTCATTTGGATAAATACCAGCAGCATGAGTGCTGGATGGTATGGTAAGAGTATGTTTAGTTTTGTAAGAAACTGCCACACTATCTTCCAAAGTGACCATCATTTTGCATTCCACCAGCAATGAATGAGAGTTTCTGTTGCTCCACATCCTTACTTATCATTCGGTATCGTCAGTGTTCAGGATTTTGGCTATTCTTATGGATGTGTGGTAGTATCTCATTGTTTTAATTTGCATTTCCCTGATGACTTATGTTGCAGAGCATCTTTTAATATGCTTAATTGCCCTCTGTATATCTTCTTTGGTGAGATACCTGTTCAGATATTTTGCCCAATTTAAAAATCAGGCTGTTCATTTTCTAATTGTTGAATCTAAAATTCTTTTAAAAAGTCATTGAGATAAGTCCCAGTCCTTAAGTAGTATCAATGAGATCTTGCTGATCTGCCCATCTGTATCTTATTATACTTTTGCTAGGTTTTTATTTTTTTTTTTTCATAATCCCCTTTCTCTCTTTCACCCATCCCCCCCCCCCACCTCCCCTCTGGCAACCACCAGTTCGTTCTTTATTTAAAAGTCTGTTTGGTTTTTGTTGTTGTTGTTTTTGTTGTTCCTTTGTTTTGTTAAATTCTGCACATGAGTGAAATCATATGGTATTTGTCTTTTTTATTTCACTTGGCATTATACCTTCTAGGCCCATCCATGTTGTTGCAAATGGCAAGATTTCATTCTTTCCTATTGCTGAATAATATTCCATTGTATATGTGCACCACAGTTTCTTTATCCATTCATCTATCAATGGACACTTGGGTTGCTTCTGCATCTAGGCTATGTAAGTAATGCTGCAATAAACATAGGGGTGCATATATCTTTTCGGATTAGTGTTTTTGTTTTCTTTGGTTAAATACCCAGTTGTGGAATTAGTGGATCATATGGCAAATCTATTTTTAACTTAAAAAAATGTTTAATTTATTTTGACAGAGAGAGGGGAGGGGAGGGGCAGAGAGAATCCAAAGCAGACTCCATGCTGTCAGCACAGAGCCTAATGAAGGGCTCGAACTCACAACCCATGAGATCATGATCTGAACCAAACTTAAAAGTCAGACTCTTAACTGAGCCATCCAGGTGCCCCTCTATTTTTAACTTTTGAAGGAACCCCTGTACTGTTTTTGCAGTGCCTACGTCAATTTGCATTCTCACTGACAGTGTAAAGGAACCCTTGTACACTATTGCCTTTTTAAAAAGCTTTTACTATAATGCTTTTTTTTTTTTAAGTTTATTCATTTATTTTTGAGAGAGAGAGAGAGAGCACAGGTGGGGTATGGGCAGACACACACACACAGAATCTGAAACAGGCTCCAAGACTCTGAGCTGACAGCAGAGAGCCCAAGGCAGAACTCGAACCCATGAACCATGAGATCATGACCTGAGTTTAAGTTGGATGCTTAACTGACGGAGCCGCCCAGGTGTCCCTGGTCTTTCAGGGTTTTTTAATGTTTCAAATTTTTATTTAAATTAGTTAACATACAGTGTAACATTAGTGAGAATTTAGTGATTCATCACTTACATATAACACCCAGTGCGCATCACAGCAAGTGCCCTCCTTAATACTCATCATTTAGCCCATCCCCCACCCACCTCCCTCCATCAACCCACCGTTCTCTAAAGTTAAGAGTCTCTTTCACGGTTTGCCTCCGTATCTTTTCTTCTCCTTCCCCTATGTTCATCTGTTTTGTGTCTTAAACTCCACGTATGAGCGAAATCATCGTATTTGTCTTTCCTTGGCTTGTTTCGCTCACTACATTGCTCTTTCAAATCCTTGAATGTGCCCAGCTCCTTCACGATGGCTGTGCCCTCTGCTTGCACCATTCATTTCATGTCCTCCTTTTTATGTAAGTAGTTGTTTTTATCCTTTAGAATTTTGCTGAAGCAGGAGTTCCTCAGGATGTTTTCCCCAGACCACAAGGTCAAGTCTGTTGTTACGTACTCTCAGAGCCACATGTGATCCTGATCACAAGTGTAATTATATGTTTCACATCTGTTTTTCACAGTAAAATAGAAGCTTTATGAGGTTAGAAACCCCACTATTGTGTGCTCAGTATTCAACATTGTGTTGGCACAAGTCAGAGGCTCAAGAAATATCTGTTAAATGAACATTGAAGTGCTGATGGAAATAATGTACCCAGTCCTCTGTAAAGTTGAGCAAATTATTTAGACAATCTATCTGTACAACTTGGTAACCTTTGTTAAGTCTCAGGTCAACCTGTTGCTTTTTTGCATATTCAAAATGGGAATAACAACTCCCTAAAGACTGATATTATTATAAGGATATGTGAATTAATTAAGAAAGTTTAGGAGACTTTCACTATGTAAATCCAATATGGTATTTGGGTTTTGGTAATTGTGTGGGTAATTAATGCCTTATAGTATATTTTAGAAAATTTAAGACTTCCTTTTTTTT